TTGTTGCATACGGTGGCAGAGGCCTAAAGCGAAAAGATTTTTATAAAACCCAGCTGAAGGCCTAGGACTGGGGCGACAACGCATGTGCCCACAGAGAGGGCTCTGCGTGCCACCTGTGGCACGCGTGCCATAGGTTCGCCACCACGGCTATAGGGTTTCCTGCCTGAGCAGGGGGTTGGATTAGAAGACCTCCAGGGTCCCTTATAACTCTGTTTCTTTGTATTCTATATGTCAGTAGTGGCGAACCTATGGCACGCGTGCCAGAGGCGGCACTCAGAGCACTCTCTGTGGGCACGCACGCCATGCCCCAGAAATGGCAATCGTCCCTCTTCAACCAGCCACCCACTAACTTGCCGAGGTCCCATGTGGCCGGATGCATCCCGGCACAGCTGGTTTCTCTCCCGCCTGTCCCATCCCTCCTGGCCTCGCATATTCTCCTTTTCCACGGCACGACCCACTGCATCGCCTCCTCAGCTGTCAGCCGTCTGTCCAGCTCGGAGGTGGCTTCTCTGAACTGCTGGTGGTGGGCTGCAGAGCCCCAGAGTGCACCGGTTGAGTGGCTGGCAGGCTGTGGCTGCTGATAGACACTATCAGTCCCCATGCACTTACTGGCTTCTGTGTGCAGGCCGCTGCCTCGCCTTGCCTCGCAGCAATGGCACCCCTGCCCTGCCTCTCCTTGCCTCATCCCGCAGGATGGGTCCATTTTGGCCACACCCTCCCAGTCTGCCATGACCACCACAGCCACGCCCACCTAGTGGGCCACGCCCACTGGCACCCGGCGATAAATAAGTGGGTTTTGGGTTGCAGTTTGGGCACTCAATCTCTAAAAGGTTCGCCATCACTGCTATGTGCTGCCATTTAATAACGTTTGTGAAGTTGGGAAAAGGCTATCAGAATACTCATTTTTTGCTTCCACAAACTCACATGTTTCTCCTTTGCAAAACATGCGATTCTGCTTTAGGCTAGCACCTGTACAGTAATATCTCATTTCTAAATTCTAACTCATCGTTCATTCTTCCTTTAACCTCCCAACATTTGAGCCACCGTGTTCAGGTAGTCCCTTACGACTTATGACCATAATTGAAAGCTCAAATTTTCTGTTGCTAAGTGAGACAGTGGTTAAGTAAATTTTGCCCCATTTTATGACCTTTCTTGTCACAGTTGTTAAGTGAATCACTTCAGCTCCAGAAGCGGTGAATGCTCCAACACTGGAAGTTTTTAAGAAGAGACTGGACACCCCATTTGTCTGAAATGCTATAAGGTTTCCAGCCTGAGCAGGGGTTGGACTAGATGGCCTCCAAGGCCCCTTCCCACTTGGTTGTTTTTATTGTTATCCTCTTATAGAGTCTGCTTTAGGCTCCTTCTGTCTGGTCTATTGAGTCCTAACCCTTCTGTCCGTTGGGGGATGGAAAAGCAATTAAAAGTTGAATTCGCATCTCACGACCGCAGCTGGGCCCAACATTTGTGTTACTGAGATATTTGTTCAGTGAGTTTTGCCCCATTTTACGACCTTTCTTGCCACAATTGTTAATTTGGTAATTTGATTGTTAAGTGAACCTGGCTTCCCCATTGCCTTTGCTTCTCAGAAGTTCACAAAAGAGGAAATCACGTGACCCCAGGACTCAGCAACCGTCATAAATATGAGTCAGTCGCCAGATGTCTGAATTTTGATCATGTGACCAAAGGGGATGCCGCAACGGTCATAAGTGTGAAAAACAGTCAAAAGTCCCTTTTTTTCGGTGCCGTTGTAACTTTGAATGGTCGCTAAACGAATGATTGAAAGGATGAATCGAGGACTAACTGTATTTAAAATTTACTAGTAAAGGTGAGAGGGTCCTTTCATAGAATGACTTGGATTCTACATGTGGAACTTATTTTCATCCATTTGTTGAAAATTTTAAATACAGGTAGTCCTCGACTTATAACCATATATAATGCCTGTAAGCCATGATGGTCATAAAGTGAGTCATCACAGGACTGATCCAATTTGCAACTTTTGTTTGTTTGTTTACGGCAATTGTTGTTCATGATGGGATGTTTTGCCAAAAGCCAGAAATAAATGCCATTTTTGGCAAAACATTGTAAAAAAAAGCACCACGTGACTTCAGGCTGTGAAGGGAAGCCATTGCCAAGGGCCCAAAACGCAGTCATGTGACTGCCGGGGGGTGGGTGGCACGGCTGTCAGAACTTCGAATGTCATAGGTACCTTTGGGGGAGGCCTGTCGTAAGTTGGAAGGGTTGCTAAGCAACCGGCCGTAAGTCAAGGACTACCTGTATTCCATTCATGATTTTCCTTGCTTTGGTTTAGACCAGGTGTAGGCGACCTCGGCTCTTTTATGACTCGTGGACTTCAACTCCCAGAATTCCTGAGCCAGCATGGCTCAGCATGGAAACCTCTCCCTTTCTCCTCAGCATGGCTGGCTCAGGAATTCTGGGAGTTGAAGTCCACGAGTCATAAAAGAGCCCAGGTTGCCTACTACTGAGCTAGGCCGGGGGAGGGAACCTTGGCTCTTTTATGACTTGTAGACTTCAACTCCCAGAATTCCTGAGCCAATATAGCTCCGCATGGAAATTTCACCATTTCTCCTCAGCCTGGCTGGCTCAGGGATTCTGGGAGTTGAAGTCCACGAGTCATAAAAGAGCCAAGGTTGCCTACTACTATCTAGGCCAGGGGGAGGGAACCTTGGCTCTTTTATGACTCGTGGACTTCAACTCCCAGAATTCCTGAGCCAGGATGGCTCAGCATGGAAACCTCTCCCTTTCTCCTCAGCATGGCTGGCTCAGGAATTCTGGGAGTTGAAGTCCACGAGTCATAAAAGGGCCAAGGTTGCCTACCCCTGGTTTAGACTGTTTTCTCCTGCGCCTGCTGCACAATTCTGAGCTTTTCCACTTCCGCAATGTTAACAGGAAGCAAATATCGTTCACATGTCCCAGTCCTTGGGAGATAAGCCTCACAAGCGGAATCCTGCCGGATCACGTTCCTAGGCTAGCATCCCTTTTCTCACAAATGTTGTCACCATTTTGTCTTCAAACGTGTTCCTCAGAAATCGAGTTCACATATCTTGAAGCAGACTGACTAGGGGATTTTATAGGTTGAGGTCAATGCATCTCAAAAGTGCTGGAATTGAAAAACAATAGGCTAGGCTAGGCTAGGAAGAAAAAAGAGAAGAGAAAAGAAAAAAGAAAAGAGGATAAAGGGAAGGAAAGGAAAGAAAGAGGAGAGGGAAGGAAAAGAAAGGAAAGGGCCTTAAATAGGTAAACATCTCTACACTGTCCTAAGCACATTTTTGCCTTGGGAAATTTTGGCCTCACTTGTCGTTGTAAGTCAAGGCAGGGAGGGTGGGGGAGAGAGAGAGAGAGAGAAAGAAGAGAGAGAGAGAGAGAGAGAGAGAGAGAGAGAGAGAGAGAGAGAGAGAGAGAGAGAGAGAGAGAGAAATAAATGGATGGATGATGATGAATATGGATGGATGGATAGATAGATAGATAGATAGATAGATAGATAGATAGATAGATAGATAGATAGATAGATAGATAGATAGATAGATAGATAATCGCCACAACTACTTAATAGGAACTCTACATTAAGATATGCATGTAAGTTTCACTCTCTAAAGCATGCATGTTTTCCTCCTCCCATTTGTCGTACATATTTCTGCATGCTTTCTAATGCGTCTTGTACTCCTCCCGCTATACAAAAAGCTGATAATTTGCTTTGCATTTGAATCAACAATGTCGGTAATGACAGGGAAAAAAAAACATGCCTGCAAATAATAATAACATGATTAAAGTTTGGGAATGGAATGCTTGGAAATAAACTGCTCCTCTGAATTTGGTACAAACTGACCTCAAACAGTTTTGAAATGTATGTTTACTTCAATTCATATGGAGCTACCAATGTTATCCAAACATCGTTCTTTTCGCTTGCCGTCACTGCAGAACCCCAAAGTTCTCCGTGGGCACAAAGAGCAGCTTGAGTAGGTTTCATCCCTAGGCAGGCCGTGGTGTGTCTTGGGGTCTGGATGCATACGGGAAGTCCTCGACTTACAACAGTGGTGGGACTCAGCCAGTTCGCACCAATTCGGCAAAAGCAGTAGCTAATTTTTTGTTCCCCAGGCCCAGAATGGACCTCTGGAAGCGGCAGCCACACAGAGAACCGGTTGTTCACATATTTGAATCCCACCACTGACTAAAGACCATGAGAAAAGCGACTTACGACTAGTCCTCACAACTGCGATAGCACCTCTGTGGGTCACGTGATCAAAAATTCAAGAAACCAGCATGTACTTACAACAGGTTGAAGCCTCACGGCATCGCCCTTTGCAATCTTCCCAGACGTCTTCCGACAAGCCAGTTCAAAAGGAGGGGGGAAACCAAACTCACTTAACGACAGTGCAATTCACTTAATGACTGCAGTGATTCGCTTCACAACCCCGTCCCAAAAAAAAAGAAAGAAAAGAAATGACGTAAAATCAGGTGTAACTCACTTCACCACCCCCACCTCACTTAGTAAGGGAAATTCTGGACCCAGTTTGTGGTTGTAATGCGAGGACTATCTTTGTACGTTTATTCCTGACTGCCCCAAACTGGTTTTCAGAGGTACAGTCTTGAGAGAGGGTGATGAATCTTGCTTATTCTTTCTTTTGCAATCTGCTGCCAATCACTGAACAATCTATCCAGGTATTCTTCTGCTCACCCTTAGCCTGGAGGCCGCTAGTAGCCCCTTTTTGCCAGTCCTGGCTGAAGTCGCTGAACAAGTAATTTGTTAATATCCCCAGCTATTTCTGCCTTATGGAAGGGACATGTTGAATTTGCATTTCTAAAACGCTGAGCTGCCACAGTTCTGTCTTCCAGCTTTATCGATTCTCCGTAGTTCTGAGAAAATAAGTTCCCGAGCTTATATTGCACCTCCAGCAAATCTCCCATTTGGTGGATTACTTCATCATAATTATACTTTGATCTTTCTCTCTCTCTCTCTCTCTTTCTCTCTCCCCTTTTCAAAGCAAAAGCAAACCAGCTCCACAAATTTCACCCAGCAAATCTGTTGGAGGAGAATTCTGCGTTGCTGCGGCCTTCGGCTCATCCCGGTCGTGGTTTGCAAGCAATCCTGGTCTTAAAAGAGAAAAAGGTTTGTGCAGAGACCAAACAACTGACAAACAGATGGGTGCCATCATAAAGCTGCCCGAGGTTGCTTCAAGCCGTTTGTCTATCTTCTAGCCCAGTGTTTCCCAAACTTGACAATTTTAAGGCATGAGGACTTCAACTCCCAACGCTGGCTGTGGAATTCTGGGAGTTGAAGTCCACATGCCTTAAAATTGTCAAGTTTGGGAAACACTGGGCTAGCCCATCCTTTGCTGTGGCTTTCCAGACTTTCTCTCCCGGCCTGGAAATTTTATTACAGTGGTACCTCAGGACTCGTCATTAATTGGTTCCAGGAGACACGATGAGTACAAAAAACGATTAGTACCACACAGTTTTTTCCCATAAGAAATAATGTAATGAGTCACAAGGCAGCCAGCACTGATATGTTCTAGCTTGTGCATTGAGAACTATTCAAACGATGAGTGCCGGGACAGACTTTTCACGTCCAAATGTGTTGAGTGAGTATCAAATTTGATGAGTTTCAAAGCAGTTGAGTACCAAGGCACCGCTGCATTTATTTATTAGATGTATAGGCCTCCCGTCTCATTATCTATTGAGAGCCACTCTGGCTTACAATGCAATCAGATAAGAAACAAAAACACAATTGCTGATAGAAACAGTTAAGATTCCAGGAATGAAATATCCAGCAAAATGAAGTTCACTGGTGAGAAAAGTCAGGTTTTACACCTAGGCAAGAAAAATCAAATGCATACATATAGGGTAGGTGGTGCCTGGCTCAACAGCAGTTAACTAATTAATATACCAAGAGCCGTGGTGGCACATTGGGAGGGAGGGAGGGAAGGAAAGAAAGAAGGAAGGAAGGAAGGAAGGAAGGAAGGAAGGAAGGAAGGAAGGAAGGAAGGAAGGAAGGAAGGAAGGAAGGAAGGAAGGAAGGAAGGAAGGAGCGAGCCCAGGAGCCCTGGTGGCGCAGTGGTTAGAATGCAATATTGCAGGCTAACTCCGCCCACGGCCTGGAGTTCGATCTTGACCGGCTGAAGGTTGATTTTGTCTTCTGTCCTTCCAAGGTCGCTAAAATGAGGACCCAGATTGTTGGGGGCAACGTGCTGACTCTGTAAACCACTCAGAGTGCTGTGAAGCCCTATGAAGTGGTCCATAAGCCTAAGTGCTCTTGCTAGTATTATGAAAGGGATCTTGGCGTCCTAGTGGACAATCACTCAAATAGGAGCCAGCTGCCCCAAAAAGCCAACCCAGTCCTAGACTGCCTCAACAGAAGGATAGCATCAAGATCGTGTGAAGTGTTAATACAGCTTTATGCTGCCACACTTAAAAGACCACACTTGGAATATTGGGCCCAGTTTGGGGCACCACAATACCAGTAGAAAAAAAAAGAACGGGGCTGGTGCTTTCTACTCTCGTGGCGCTAACTACTGCCGGCCTGAAGCCTCTCGATTGGGGCCCCAGGCCAACTGGCAGAGACAGGACAGAAGGAGAGGGTTGGACCTCATCTCTGGGGGGCAGGATGTTCCAAAGGGCAGGGGCCACTGCAGAAAAGGCTCTTCTCCTAGAGCCCGCCAGATGAAATTCCTTGGCTGAAGGGATTCACAGGAAGCCGCTTCCACTGGAACACTTGGGATGGGCCCATCTCACGTGATGGTTCACGTCAGATATCCTGGATCTGTATCCTAAAGGAACGCTGGGGCCCACAGATATTTTGCAGGCACCATGCCACAGAAGGCTTCTTTTGGGGGTCCCTCTAGTTTAGCCCTGACTTGGGACGTTACCCGTGGAAGTAGACGTCGTTCTGGCCACAGAAGAAGAAGTGTTAATTCTTATAACAGGAAGAAGCCAATTTAATTCTGGCTCCAGTTCAAGGTGCTGGTTGGCACCTTCAGAGCCCTGCTTTTCTCGCCAAACGGTGGCAAGAAAAGTCCTAAAATAGGGCGAAACCCGGTTAACAACGGTCTCACCTAGCAACAGGCTTTTTAGGATAACCAATGCCTGGAAGTTCTCTGAAGTGTTTCATTAGTTGGAACCTTGACAGTTGGGCTCCATGGTGGTTGTAAGTCAAGGAAGACCCGCATTGGGATTGTATCTTTAAAAGCCCCTCAGAGTCAAATGTCCAGGGAAGTTCTCCGTCATCCAGGTCATGGTTGTCCCAAAGGTGCTTTTTTAGGAGGTCACTGGACTTTCTTGTTTTTTCCTTGAAGACATTTTGCTTCTCCTTCAAGAAGCTTCTTCAAATCTGACTGCATGGTGGGGGAATGGAAGGATTTATACTTCTTGCAGACAGCCGGTCGTTTGCATTCATTTAGACCAGGGGTAGGCATCCTTGGCTCTTTTATGACTTGTGGACTTCAACTCCCAGAATTCCTGAGCCAATATAGCTCCGCATGGAAATTTCACCATTTCTCCTCAGCATGGCTGGCTCAGGAATTCTGGGAGTTGAAGTCCACGAGTCATAAAAGAGCCAAGGTTGCCTACTCCTGATTTAGACAGTCGTTGAAGCCCTTTGAATGGTGCGGCAGGATGAACGGATTTCCAGAAAACATTGCAGACTCCAGGAACCATTTCCGCTTCAGATTGAGATTCAGACAACACAGACTCATCCCCAACAGCCTGTGTGCCCATCTTCAACAGGGAAGGGACCCAGGGCAGAAAACATCCTGCAGCCAAGAAGGCTTCACACCCATTTGCACTACTCAGGTGACCCTGAGGACACAGATAAGCCTCCAAGTAGCCTCAACGACTCTCTAAAAGAAATGCAAATGACCGGCTGTCTGCAAGGAGTATAAATTCTTCCATTCCCCACCATCCAGTCAGAGCTGAAGAAGCTTCTTGGATGAGAAGTGAAACATCTTCAAAGAAAAAACAAGAAAGTTCAGTTGCCTCCTTAAAAAAGCACTTTTGGGACAACCCTCGGCGTCACGAGAGTGAGTTGGGTGGCCGTATAAGTTGTCACAAACAAACAAACGTTCGCTTCCAATTTGAAAAAATGAATAGCTGTGTCCAATTTGAATTTTAGCCAGGATAGTCACACCGAAAGCAGGGCCTGGCAAGAGGGAAGCGAAATTCAAGGGTAACGCAGCAGTGTTGCAAAGAATCCAAGGTTAATGTATTCCGGATTGCTTTTTTCTGGGAAATTCCAAAAATAGCACTTAATTTCTCAGCGATTCACCTTCCTGAGAATCGTAGTGGCATCAGTCGTCGTGCCCATAGATTTTATTTATGCAAATAAACAAAATTGACGTGAGAGGCGTCCACTAAATGCAAAGTGATGGGAAACGCTGGGCAGGCAGAAAGGGATCAATGGGCAGAGGGCTGCAGAGTTAAAACGCTGACTTTGGAAAGCCCAAAGTACAGGGAGTCCTCGACATACGACCAGAATGGAGCCCAGAAGGTCTGCTGCTAAGCCAGACAGGTAAGTGATTTTTTTGCCCCATTTTATGACCTTTCTTGTCGCAGTCGGTAAGTGAATCACTGCAGTTGTTAAGTTAGGAACACGGTTGTGAAGTGAATCTGGCTTCCCCATTGAGTTTGCCTGTCAGAAGGTCGCAAAGGGGGATCATGTGACCCCGCAGGGACACTGCGACCGTCGTAAATATGAGTCAGGTGCCAATCCTCTGAATTTTGATCGCGTGATCATGGAGAATGCTACAAAGGTCGTAACTGTGACAAATGGTCATTAGTCACTTTTTTCGGGGCCAGTTGTAAATTTGAACAGTCACTAAATGAACTGTTGTTAAGTCAAGGCCTACCTATTTATTTATTTATGAGACTTATATACCGCTTTAAGTGCAAGCACTCTCTAAGCGGTGTACACCAGTAAGCAATGTATATATATATATTTACATTGCCCCCAACAATCTGGGTCCTCATTTTACCTACCCCGGAAGGATGGAAGGCTGAGTCAACCTTGAGCTGGTGAGATTTGAACTGCTGACCTGTTGAACACAGTCAGCTAAAGTGGCCTGCAGTACTGCACTCTAACTGCTGCGCCACCTCGGCTCATACTATACAGGTAGTCCTCTACTAGTGACCACAATTGAGTCCCAAATTTCTAGTGCTAAGCCACACAGTTATTAAGTGAGTTTTGACTTATTTTACAACCTTTCTTGCTATACTTCTTGTAAATCAGCAGAGTTGTAAAGTTAGTAACCCGGTTGTTAAGTGAATCTGACTTCCCCATTGATAGATGTCTATGGAGGTTCTCAGTCATCGTGGTCATAGTTGCCCCAAAGGTGCTTTTTCAAGAGGCAAGTGGACTTCCTTGTTTTTCCTTTGAAGATGTTTCGCTTCTCCTCCAAGAAGCTTCTTCAGCTCTGACTGGATGGTGGGAGTGGAAGGATTTATACTCCTTGCGGACAGCTGGTCATTTGCCTTCTTTTAGAGCCAGGGGGTCTTCAAACTTGGCCCTTTTATGGCTCGTGGACTTCAACTCCCAGAATTCCTGAGCCAGTATGGCTCAGCTTGGAAACCTCTCCCTTTTCCCTCAGCGTGCTTGGCTCAGGAATTCTGGGAGTTGAAGTCCACGAGTCATAAAAGAGCCATGGTTGCCTACCCCTGTTCTAGGGGGTTGTTGAGGCCACCTGGAGGTTTACTTGTGTCCTCAGGGTCACCTAAGGGGTGCAAATATGCATGGAGCCTTCTTGGAATGCAGAAAGGATTTATACTCCTTCTAGAAAGCTGGTCATTTGCCTTCTTTTAGAGCAGTGGTTCTCAACCTTTTTAATGCCGCGACCCCCAACCAGTTGTAAGTCAAGGACTACTCAACCGGTCGTAAGTCGAGGACTACTCAACTGATGCAGCACCGTTTGCAAAATGGGACTTTTGGCGGGCTCAGCAGGGCAGAGACAGCCTGGACAATTCCTATCGGCTTTTGAAAGCCAATAGAATTAGACTCTATTCAAGAGAGTCTATTCTATTGGCTTTCAAAAGCCAATAGAATAAAAGGGAGTAGCACAGCTAAGGAAAAGGGGGAAAAAAATGGCGGACTGCATTGTTTGGCGACCCCCATGAAATGGTCGTTCGACCCCAAATGGGGTCCAGACCCACAGGTTGAGAACCGCTGGTCTAGAGAGTCCTTGAGACCACTTGGAGGTTTCTGTATGTCCTGAGTGGGGCAAATGGGTGTGGAGCCTGAGTGGGACTGCTCAAAGGATCCTCCCATCCCCCACCTTCCGGTCAGAGCCGAAGAAGCTTCTTGGATGAGAAGCGAAACGTCTTCAAAGAAAAAAACAAAGAAAGTCCATTTGCCTCCTGAAAAAAAGCACCTTTGGGACTTTCCCATTGACTTTGCTCTTTCAAAGGTCGCAAAAGGGGATCACATGACCCTGGGTCACTGCAAATGTTCGTAAATATGAGCATCCGAATTTTGATCCCATGATCTTGGGGACGCTGCAAGGGTCTTAAGTGTGAAAAACACTCATAAATCCATTTTTTTTTTCCCAGTGCCGTTGTACGGTCACTAAAGGAACGGTTGCCAGTTGAAGATTACCTTGTAAACATTCAGGCTTCTCGTTCCCTTCTAGAACAATCCAAGCAATTCGTTGTGGAGTCTTTATACATCATCAGCTGCTATGGGACTTTGGTGGAACACGTCCTGGAGCCCCGAGCTCTCTGCACCGCCCCTAAGATCAGCGATGACACCCCACTGGAAATGGTGACCTGCCCACGGGCTAGCTGGACCCTCGTCAGGTAACCCCCCTGTTCTCTTCTGATGCTCGTATTTCATTTTGATTTTGTCTTTGAACACGTTTCAGGAGCCTGCTGCACCGATGGTGCTGCCCAAACTACAGAGAGAGTATAAATCTACAGGAAAAGAAGATTCTGGTCTCAGAATTCTGCTAGAGATACTCGGTCAAAGGGTCCAATTTCCATCCTGTCTCTCTTTTTGCATCCTGCAGTTTTAAATAGTCATCAGAACAGAACAGGACAGAACAGAACAGAACAGAATAGAATAGAATAGAAAATATGGAATGGAATGGAACGGAACGGAACAGAACAGAATAGAATAGAATAGAGCTGGAAGGGACCTTGGAGATCATCTAGTCCAACCCCCTGCTCAGGCAGGAAACCCTGTATATCATTTCAGACAAATGGCTGTCCAGTCTCTTCTTAAAAACCTCCAGTGTTGGAGCATTCACCGCTTCTGGAGGCAGGTTGTTCTACTGGTTAATTGTCCTCACTGTCAGGAAGTTTCTTCTTAGTTCTAGGTTGCTTCTCTCCTTGGCTAGCTTCCATCCGTTGCTTCTTATCCTGCCTTCTGGCGCTTTGGAGGGTAGCTTGACTCCCTCTTCTTTGGGGCAGCCCCTGAGATATTGGAAGGCTGCTATCATGTCCCCCCTCATCCTTCTCTTCATTAAACTAGACATACCCAATTCCAGCAACCGTTCCTTGTATGTTTTAGCCTCCAGTCCCCTGATCATCTTTGTTGCTCTTCTTTGCACTGATAGATATCTATGTTTGTCTGTCTGTCTGTCTGTCTGTCTGTGGAATTCTGAGAGTCAAAGTCCACAGGTCATAAAGGGGCGATAGTTGCCCCCCCCTTTTTTCAAAGTCTTCCATTTTGAAGGCCATTTAGAGAAATTAGGCCTGATTTACAAAATAAAACGAAAGAGGGATTACTGAGAAAATATGGTCAGCGCCTCTGACATTTTAAAATATTTTTTACATTGATTTTGTGTGGTGATAGGGGGAGGGGGGGGAGCGTCAGTCTTCTCCAGCGCCGATTCCTGCCCTGAGCCAATCAATATATACTATGCCAAGATGCTGAGGAAAGGGCAGCCCTAATTAAAATGGCAGCGTGGTCCTCCGGGGCCATTATTGTCAAAACAAGGAGCTTGTAATGGGATTGCGAATTCTGACCTGATCAATATGTTGTAACTTTACAGAACTTGGTTCTCACAGACTGGGACGATACATAAGACGCGTAGTCCTCAGTTTACAACAGTTTCTTACAACGGCACTGGAAAAAGTGACTTGGGACCGTTTTTTCACACTTACGACCGTTGCAGCATCCCTATGGTCATGTGATCAAAATTCAGACGCTCGACAGCTGACTCACATTTAGCGACCTTCTGACAAGTAAAGTCAGTGGGGAAGCCGGATTCACTTAATGACCGTGTGACTAACAACTCCAGTGATTCACTTGACAACTGTGGCAAGGGCAAGAGAGGTCATAACATGGGGCAAAATTCACTTAACAAATGTTTCACTTAGCAACAGAAATTTTGGGCTTAGTTGTGGTTGTAAGTCGAGGACTACCTGTATTCTTCCCTCTCCTGTGCAGGTAATTCTCAACTTGCAACTGCAATTGGACCAGGACTTCCATTGTTAAGCAAAGCAGTTGCTGTGAGCCAATGTCCTGTAAGTGAATTCCTGACATCCTTAAGTGGATCAGGTGGTCCTTAACCCAGTCCAGCTTCCTGCATTGTTTTTGCTTGTCAGAAGCGTCTGGGAAGTTTGCAAATGTTGATCACAGGACCCCGGAACACTGCAACTGTCGTAAATACATAACTGTATTTGCTAAGCAGGTGAATTTTGATCAACTGTATTTGCTAAGCAGCTGAATTTTGATCATGTGACCCTGGGGATGCTGCAAAGGTCATCAGTATATATTCAAAATGGACAGTGATTAATATTTATATGTACATATATAAGATGTTGAGAGTCTAGAAAGAGTACAGAGAAGAGCAACAAAGATGATTAGGGGACTGGAGGCTAAAATGTATAAGGAACGGTTGCTGGAATTGGGTATGTCTAGTTTAATGAAGAGAAGGCCGAGGGGGGACATGATAGCAGTGTTGCAATATCTCAGGGGCTGCCCCAAAGAAGAGGGAGTCAAGCTATTTTCAAAGGCTCCTGAAGGCAGGACAAGGAATAACAGATGGAAACTGATCAAGGAGAGATTCAACCTAGAAATAAGGAAGAATTTTCTGACAGTGAGAACAGTCAGCCAAGGGAACAGACTGCCTTCAGAAGTTGTGGGTGCTTCATCACTGGAAGCTTTCAAGAAGAGACTGGACTGCCATCTGTCAGAAATGGTGTAAGGTCTCCTGCTTGTGTGGGGGGGTTGGACTAGATGACCTATAAGGTCCCTTCCAACTCTGTCATTCTATTCTATTCTATTCTATTCTATTCTATTCTATTCTATTTTTCTTCCTTATTCTATTCTGTTCTGTTCTGTTCTGTTCTGTTCCATTCCGCTCCGTTCTGTTCCTATTCTATTCTATTCTATTCTATTCTATTCTATTCTATTCTATTCTATTCTATTCTATTCTATTCTATTCTATTCCTTTACTCTATTCTATTCTATTCTATTCTATTCTATTCTATTCTATTCTTCCATTCCATATTTTCTCTTCTCTCTTCTCTTCTCTTCTCTTCTTTCATTATTTTGTTCTGTTCCATTCTTTCATTATTCTATTCTATTCTATTCTATTCTATTCTTTCATTATTCTATTCTATTCTATTCTATTCTATTCTATTCTATTCTATTCTATTCTATTCTATTCTTCCATTCCATATTTTCTCTTCTCTCTTCTCTTCTCTTCTCTTCTCTTCTTTCATTATTTTGTTCTGTTCCATTCTTTCATTATTCTATTCTATTCTATTCTATTCTATTCTTTCATTATTCTATTCTATTCTATTCTATTCTATTCTATTCTATTCTATTCTATTCTATTCTATTCTTCCATTCCATATTTTCTCTTCTCTCTTCTCTTCTCTTCTCTTCTCTTCTTTCATTATTTTGTTCTGTTCCATTCTTTCATTATTCTATTCTATTCTATTCTATTCTATTCTATTCCTTTACTCTATTCTATTCTATTCTATTCTATTCTATTCTTTCATTATTCTATTCTATTCTATTCTATTCTATTCTATTCTATTCTATTCTTCCATTCCATATTTTCTCCTCTCTCTTCTCTTCTCTTCTCTTCTCTTCTTTCATTATTTTGTTCTGTTCCATTCTTTCATTATTCTATTCTATTCTATTCTATTCTATTCTATTCTATTCTATTCTATTCTATTCTATTCTATTCTATTCCATTCCATTCCATTCCATTCCACTCCACTCCACTCCATTCCATTCTGTTCATCCAAGTGTGAAGAATACCCTGGGAGTCTGCCTGCGAGTTGGCATTGCATAGGTCTGTTTTGAAAACACAATATATATATATTTTTTTTAAGAAAACACAGGCCTCTCATTATCCCCTTTTCCCCCATCTGTCTCGAAATATTCCACGCTCGGAGCAAGTGACTTTAAATAATTATAAACACGGTATTCTCTTGCATAAATAATTGGATGTGATCACACAGATGCTGATTTTTTTTCTCCCCCCCCTTCTCTCTTCCAGCTTAAATATTAATACTCTTGTGTCGTTTCCGCAGAACGCCCCAGTGGAACGAGCTGCAGCCGCCTTTTAACTTGAATCACCCCCTGCTTCTAGCCGCAGATTCTGTGCAGTGTTACCAGTATCTCCTTCTCGGCTGTGAGTATCCTTTTTTTGTGTGGAGGTGCAACACGTAGTGATCTGTCGCCCTTGTTGACGTTTCTTTTTTAAGCAAAAGACGAACGGAATTGGTTCTGTAGCTTTCCCCCCACCCCTCTTTTCATACGACAGGTAGTCCTCGACTTACGGCCACGATCGAGCCCAACATTTCCGTTGTTAAGCGAGACAGTTGTGGAGTGAGCTTTGCCCCAATTTTACCAGCTTGCTGGCCACAATTGTGAAGTGAATCGCAGCAGTTGGTAAGCTAGTAACAGGCTTGTTGAGTGAATCCATGACGTTGCTTGTCGTGACACTGCAACCATCTTGAGTACATGCCAGTTGTCAAGTGTCCGAATTTGGATCACATGACTATAGGGCAAGGATAGGCCACCTTGGCTCTTTTATGACTCGTGGACTTCAACTCCCAGAATTCCTGAGCCGGCAGGGCTCAGCATGGAAACCTCTCCCTTTCTCCTCAGCGTGGCTGACTCAGGAATTCTGGGAGTTGAAGTCTATGAGTCATAAAAGAGCCAAGGTTGCCTACTACTGAGCTAGGCCAGGGGGAGGGAACCTTGGCTCTTTTATGACTCATGGACTTCAACTCCCAGAATTCCTGAGCCAGCATGACTCAGCATGGAAACCTCTCCCTTTCCCCTCAGCATGGCTGGCTCAGGAATTCTGGGAGTTGAAGTCCACGAGTCACAAAAGAGCCAAGGTTGCCTACCTCTGCTATAGGGGATGCTGCAACAGTCCTAAGTCTGAAAAACAGTGATAAGTCGTTTGTTTTTTTCAGTGCTGGAGTAACTTCGAACAGTCAGTAAATAAATGTTTGTAAGTCGAGGCCTACCTGTCATCATCCCGTCCTCTCGTTCCCCTCCATTTTACGAGTTTTCTTGCCCTAGTTCAGGGTTAGGCAACCCAAAACACTCAAAGAGCCACTTGGACCCGTTTCCCACCAAAAACAAAACACTGGGAGCCGCAAAACCCTTTTGATATCTAAAATGAAGATAACACTGCATATATCCTTTTTTACCTTTATTATAGGTGTGTGTGTGTGTGTGTGTGTGTATGTGTATGTGTATATGTGTGTGTATACACACACACACACACACACACACACACACATATACACATTAAAAATAAAAGTAAAAATATGACTCTTGGGAATATCCATACTATTAAAACAATGATCACCAAGAGAATGCTTTAAGAGAATAAAATTACATACACACACAGGTAAAAAAAGGATATATGCAGTGTTATCTTCATTTTAGATGTCAAAAGGGTCTCTCTCTCTCCCTCCCTCTCTATCTGCCCTTGGTCTGCCACTCCTCTTCCCCCTCTCTCTCTCTCTCTCTCCTCTCTCTCTCTCTCCCTCCCTCCCTCTCCTATCTGCTGCTCACCTGGCAAGCTTCAAGCTGTTGTCCAACAAGATCGGGGTAGGCAACCTCGTCTCTTTTATGACTCATGGACTTCAACTCCCAGAATTCCTGAGTCAGCCTAGCTGGGCTAGCTAGCTCTCTCCTGCCCTTCCTGCTTCCTGCAGAGACGCAGCAAAGGGAGGAGCTCCGCCAGAAAGCTTTTCAGCTCCTCGGAGAACACTGTGAGTGCACTCTCTTTTACACATACACACACACACACAACACAAACACACACACACAGAGAGAGAGAGAGAGAGAGAGAGAGAGAGAGAGAGAGAGAGAGAGCAGGGAAGCGCAATTGCCTCTCTCTGTCTCTCTCTGCAAAGGCAGAGGAGGCTGGGAGCCACAGGGGAAGGCTCAAAGAGCCGCATGCGGCTCCGGAGCCGCAGGTTGCCGACCTGTGCCCTAGTTGTTAAGTGAGTCACTGTAGTTGGTAAGTTAAGAACATGGTTGTTAAGTGAACCTGGCTTGGCTTCCCCATCGACTTTGTTTGTCAGAAGGTTGCAAAAGGGATACTATAACCGGTCAGTTGCCAAGCGTCTGAATTTTGGTCACATGATCACAGGGATGCTGCAACAGTCATAAGTACATGCCAGTTGCCGAGCGGCTGAATTTTGATCACATGACCACAGGGACGTTGCAACAGTCATAAGTGCGAAAAACAATAAGTCACTTTTTTCCATGCCGGTGTAACTTCGAACAGTCACTAAAGGAAAGATTGTAAATCGAGAACTAGCTGTGTATTCTTTTCAGGATGCTTCCCTTTTGGAAAACATTGTAGTTAATTTTCTTTAAATTGGATTTTAGGCATACTTTTTTTTTTAGCTTCCATTTTGGGGTGTTTTATATATATATGTAGGTCTTTGGTTGTTCGGGTTTTCTCCCGCGTAAAATTGGAAGTGTCTTGGCGACGTTTCGACGAAGTCCCATTCGTCATCTTCAGGCTGGTGTTTTCAGCTTCATGCTTCGAGCAGCAAAAGCACGAAGCTGAAAACACCAGCCTGAAGATGACGAATGGGACTTCGTCGAAACGTCGCCAAGACACTTCCAATTTTACACGGGAGAAAACCCGAACAACCAAAGACCTACATACAAACACCCACGAAAACCTCAGAAAATACACACACACACACACACACACACACACACACACACACATAAACATACACTTCAGCATAATTGGTTTCTGTAACTTTCTGGCTCCTTTTCTTATTTACTCAACGCGGTGTTTCTTTTTTGAGCATCCTGTTTATTGTTAATATTGTTTTAATTCTGTCCTGGAAGGATTATCCTTGAAAAGCACCGTCCAGCATCCTTTTAGATTGATACGTTTGTGGCCCTGAGTTTGTTTTCTTTATATCCCCAAACCGAAGGGTAAGGCCAGACGCAAATGCTTTTTGGAGACCGTAATTAAAGCTAGGAAAACAATGACATGCAGTCAAAATTGTCACTCTTGGAAGACTGACTCTGAAAACGGAACAGGTCCTAATCCCCCTTAAGATAAACAAGAAGCAGTCTCATAAACAGAAATTTTTAAATCTGCAGACATGCTGCTTTGTCCTCGAGAGCCAATGCATCAGCGGGCAATGCCAGCGGCAATTACGCCTTCTTGTTTTCCGTCTGTATTTCAGGACCCGTTTAGGGCATGGCCAGTGGTCTCAAACCCAAGTTTCATAATAATAAAGTTGGAAGGGACCTTGGAGGTCATCTAGTCCAACCCCCTCTCAGGCAGGAAACCCTATACCATTTCAGACAAATGGTTGTCCAGTCTCTTCTTAAAAACTTCCAGTGCTGGAGCATTCACTGCTTCTGGAGGCAGGTTGTTCCACTGGTTAATTGTTCTAACTGTCAGAAAGTTTCTCCTTAGTTCTAGGTTGCTTTTCTCCTTGATTAGTTTCCATCCGTTGCTTCTTGTCCTGCCCTCAGGCGCTTTGGAAGATAGCTTGACTCCTTCTTCTTTGGGGCAGTCCCTGAGATACTGGAAGACTGCTATCATGTCCCCCCTCGTCCTTCTCTTCATTAGACTAGACATCCCCAATTCCAGCAGCCTTTCCTTATATGCTTTAGCCTCCAGTTCCCCTGATCATTCTTGTTGCTCTTCTCTGTACTCTTTCTGGAGTCTCAGCATCTTTTTTTACATCGTGATGACCAAAACTGGATGCCGTATTCCAAGTGTGGCCTTATCAAGGCCTTGTAAAGTGGTATTAACACTTCACATGCTCTTGATTCCATCATCTCTGCTTTCTCTCCAGACTCGGGAGGAGAAACCTATTGTCGGCACATCCATATCTTTCCTGAAATTGGGGATGGATGGCCGTGGATTCAGGTAGAAAGTGAGAAAGTTCCAGGAATCGGGAATCTCTTTTTGTCCAAAATAAAGGGAGTCCTCCTCTTACAATCACGACTCAGTGCCAGATTTCGGTCTTTAACTGAAACCATTGTGAAGGGAGTTTTGCCTCATTTTACGACTTTTCTCGCCACAATTGTTAAGTGAATCCGGCTTCCCCCATTGACTTTGCTTGTCAGAAGGTCACAAAAGGGGATCATGTGACCCCCCCAGGGACACTGCAAACCCTCATAAATACAAGCCAGTTGCCAACTCTTGGTTGTAAGAGTGAAAACCGGTCATAAATCACTTTTGTTTTCCAGATTCGTTGTAACTTTGAATGGTCGCTAAATGAAACGGTTGTAGGTTAAGGACTACTTGCATCGCATGCTGAATCTGGGTCACATGCCAGATCGTGACTATGAAAAACGGTCATAAGTCATGTTTTTCAGTGCTGTTGTGACTTTGAACAGTCACTAAACGGACCGTTGTAAGTCGAGAACTACCTATACCAAAAAATAAAATTAGGATTGCCGGAATGGCATGCCAACTTCCTTTGTTCACAGTACAATCTTCTACTTGATGGATTGATGGTTATTAATTGAGTTAAGAGAGTTGAAAGGGACCTTGGAGGTCATCTAGTCCAATCTCCTGCTCAGGCAGGAAACCCTACATCATTGTAGACCATTGTAGACCTACACCATTGTTGTCCAGTCTCTTCTTAAAAACCTCCAGTGTTGGAGCACCCATAACTTCTGGTGACAAGTCATTCCACTGATTAATTGTTTTCACTGTCAGGAAATTTCTCCTTAGTTCTAGGTTGGTTCTCTCTTTGATTAGTATCCATCCGTTGCTTCTTGTCCTGCCTTCAGGCACTTTGAAGAATAGAATTAGAATAATAGAGTTGGAAGGGACCTTGTAGGTCATCCAGTTCAATCCCACCGCCCAAGCAGGAGACCCTACACTTTTCTGACAGATGTCAGTCCAGTCTCTTCTTGAAAGCTTCCAGTGATAAAGCTCCCACAACTTCTGGAGGCAGGTGGTTCCACTGGTTAATTGTTCTAACTGTCAGGAAGTTTCTCCTTAGTTCTAGGTTGCTTCTCTCCTTGATTAGTTTCCATCCGTTGCTTCTTGTCCTGCCTTCAGGCGCTTTGGAGAATAGCTTGACTCCTTCTTCTCTGGGGCAGCCCCTGAGATATTGGATATTTGCAGCCCGGTCTTTTTTTGTACAAACATCACCGTCCCTTTTGGTT